TCCCCTTCAAAGTAGTCCCCTCCAGATATAATACACTTATGCCAGCGTTTTTTCCAATTTTCGAAGCACCCTTGATATTCACTTTTTGATATGTCCTTGAGCACTCTCAGCGATTTTCTTCAATCGAGGAAAACCGCCGTCCTTTCATGGGTCTCTTCAACTTTGGGAATAGGAAAAAGTCACACGGAGCCATATCTGGTGAATTTTTGCACTTTGCAACACTTTATTTCATTTTTTACGCAAAATTTAATACAAATTCTTTGACTTTTCAATTCTTCCATTGTAAAAATCGCCGAGCTCAGAAAAACACGTCGAACCTTAGCGACTACCACAGACAAAGTAAACAGTGAATATAGCTGAAAATTTCATCATACTTTAGGGGCATGTATACCAACACAATAAAAAAAAATTTTGACAATCAGACACTCCAGACCCGCGAAATTTAATTATTAGTAATTCCGGGTACTTTTTGAACACACCTCGTATATATGAAAATTCAAGGTATTTTTCAGACCAATTATTGCTTTTTATTATTTTTTGTTACACAAATATTGATAGAGTTCTAATTGTTTAAAGAGTGCGCGGCTATCCAATCGGAGTGTCTTTCGAGCCCTTTAACCCTTCGCCGTTTCAAAATAAGAGAAGTTACGATAAAATTTATGATAAAGAAAGTTGTAGCTCATTTAGTCACCTTTAAAATAGTATATTACAAGTTATGATAAAATCAGAATTAAAAGAGTTATAATCCAATTAATGCGAGGGATGGTGACAAAATGCAAATTGTTTTCACTTCTGAACTTTAGATTAAGATTAGATGGGCATACGCTTTTTTCCTCTCCATTTACTGCAATAAATTTGTTGATAGTAGGTTGAATAGAGCACATGTGAACTAAATTTGACAAATTAATTCACTTCAAATATGAACTTAAGTAATAATGTATATTGAATTATTAGTGTGAAAAATGCAATTTATATATTAAAATACTAAAAGCCAGTTAAAATATGGTACGAAATTATAAAAATTGTAGGCAACATTATTGAAGCAATTATTTTGGGTAGAAAAATCCAAGGTGATATTGTACCTTGACCGCATGCTATATATTAATTCTTTCTGAATTTGTTATACTTTTTAAAAGATTTCAATTTTCAACACGTGTATCTATGCTATGACAATAAATACATGGTGATAGATTTGGAAAAACAATGTTTTAGCCGTGAATAAACAAAAAATCATTCATTTAAACATCCACATCTACAGGTATGTCTAAAAATATTGTATAACCCTTAAATTCAACAAAATAAATTGAGCTATTGGAAATAAATTTGTTCTATAAATCGCAGTGTATAATTTTTAATATATAATTTTATTGCACATATTTTAACATTTGTTAAAGGGATAATTAAAGTGATAACTGTGGGAATTGAGAATAATCATTTTATTTGAAACAGTACTACATTTAACATCACTCATATATTGGTAGTAACTAAAATAATAATAATAATAAATAGTAACTCAAAAAATAATAATGATTATTTTTAACTGAACGGTATAAATATTATTATAGGATATTAAAAAAACGTAGAGGTGGGTACAGGACAACGTATATATATATATATATATATATATATATATATATATATATTAGAGTGGTCTTAAAATGGTCATTTTCGAATTTCCTTGCTCCCAGGGGCTCAAATGGTTCCAAATAGATAAAAAACAATTCTCTGAAAGTTTTAGCTCTTAATATTATCGTTTAGATAGAGCGCAATTCAATCTAAGTTTGGTATGGAAATAGCATGGAAAAATTTTCAAAAATTTTAAAAATGTTTTTTAGATGTAATTTAGCTAACAAATGAATGAATAAAACTCATTCATTTGTCGCTAAGTTATACCTAAAACATTTTTTTTAAATTTTCAAAATTTTTTCCATGCTCTTCCCATACAAACTTTAATTGAATTGAATTGAATATATTGCGGTCTATCTGAACGTTAATATTAAGTGCTAAAACTTTCAGAGGATTGTTTTTTATCTATTTGGAACCATTTGAGCCCCTGGGAGCAAGGAAATTCGAAAATGACCATTTTAAAGACCCCCCTGATATATATAATATATATATATATATATATATATATATATATATATATATTTATATATATATATATATATATTAATTTGGAAATATGAACAAACAACACTCTTTTTTGCACTAATTTATTAAATAATAATTTTCACAAACGTTTCGAGACTAGGTTTGTCTCATCATCAGTGTGTTATAATTTAAAATTTAAAATATGGAAATCTAAATTAGCATTTTGTGTTATCCATTACAAGTCGCTCGATACACTGTTCTCTGCCACACCAACGATCGTCGGTGTCCGCATTCTCTCCCACTTGAAAACCACTTGAAATTGAATGGTCACGCAATCAGATAGGAAAGGAAGGATTAGGGTCCAGTTGAAAATAGAAGTCATTAGGAGAAAAAATATTCTATGAATGAGATGGTTTGTTTATAAGATTTGTTTTAAATTGTTATAATTAAAAATATATGTACATATATATACATACTCATATATACAAATGTATACCCAAAGTACAAAACATCACATATACAAATAACTATATATAAACAACATACACATACATATATAAATACACACATATATACATACACATATGTATGTGTATATATATATATATATATATATACATACAGACACACATATATATACATACATACACATACACATATACACATCACACAGGCACACACCTACATATATATATAAAAACACTCACATATACTCACATACATACGGGACCCGGACGATTTTTGTCTGGTATTTAATACCGGTATTGATACCAAAAATACCGGTATTTTGGGATTACCAGTATTTTGTTAAAAATTGAACTTATGCAATACACATACACAAGTTTTACACTGTGTATGTGTATTACCGACCCAACTTAGCCGAGTATGATACATCAGCTAGATAAAGCGTTTGTTTATATATTATATACGACCTAATGGAACCCATTTATAAAAATTATTAGTCATCCACGTGCATTGTCCTCATATCTAATTCGTTATCAATGATTTTTAAACAAAATATACAATCGACACGTTATGATTCTCTATATTGTATATCTACCTATCAATCATTCGTATTTATTTATTACTTCATTATAACAAAAATTTACGCGTCAAATCATCGAGTGATATATAGTTTGATAATCAACGATAATATTGGTGGAGGATGATCTCTTTCTTATGCGTACGTTGCAGATTATTTATTTATTAGACAATGAAGAAATACAATATTTTTCTATAAGTCTTTGTGATGTGTTGATATCTAATGACAATTTTACAAGTACTAATTCATATCGACTAATAATGTTCTCAGATTATTTCTTTTTGACAATAGTTCCGACAAGTGTTTAATGAGAAAAGAGTTTTCGGCTTGTTATATTTGTACTAAAATTTGGTCCTCGCTATGAGATTAAACATTTGATACAAGTACTAATTCATATCGACTAATAATGTTCTCGGATTATTTCTTTTTGACAATAGTGCCGACAAGTGTTTAATGAGAAAAAAGTTTTTGGCTTGTTATATTTGTACTAAAATTTGGTCCTCGCTATGAGATTAAACATTTGATTGTTTATATTTTTTAAAAGCATATTTTAATAAACAAAATATAAGTTATTAATTGAATTTATTTTTTCCATAGATATATAATTCCATACGAGCCTATTAAATAAAAATGTAACATACAAGTTAATAAATAATTGTTTACTTGCACGTTTTTTTTGTATCTATCTATACCTATGTAATAAAATAATTAATATGTACTCATTTTAGAACAGTGATAATGTTAATATGTCAATATAACAACTGCGGTAAATAAAAATATTACTAGTAAATTTTTCATTGATAATACCGGTATTAATACCTGGATCCCGGTATTACAAATTTCAAATTTCGAATACCGGTATTCAGATTTTAGTACGGTATTGGAAGCCCTATATATATATATATATATATATATATATATATATATATATATATATTATAGAATTTTATGATATGAGTGGAACGAATATTAATTGTTTAATATGAACAAAAAAATTTAAAAGTACACTTGTGGATCATGCTAATATCAACAACCATAAGTTTGATTTTGACAATCCCCAAATTTTATTCCATGAGAAAGACTTATTTAAACGGAGCATGGCAGAATCAGTGTTAATAGTTCGGACTAACAATAGCATAAATCTAAGAACCGACACAAATATTTTACATGACACTTATATAAACATCATTAATAATTTATAAATTTTTTCATTTATCTTGTTCTTTTCAATAATTTGTTTGTTTTCTCATTTTTATCGATTTTTGTATGCGATAGCACTCCTTTTGTTTACATTATAATGATACCCATTCTGTCTCCATCTAGATAAGTACTTCAAATTTGTTTAGAATATTTCTGTAAGTGTTATATGTTTCTTTAGTACTGTGTCAAGCATTGCAAGGAATAGTTGGTGTTTTTTGTATATCAAAAATTAAATGAAATTTAAATAAATTATTAAAGAATGTGTAGTATATAAGTAACTGTTTTTGAAATTACACTGAAGATGAGACACACCATGGTCTCGAAACGTCTGTAATCATAAAATAAAGTTGTGTTAAACAAATCTGAGTGCTGTTTTGTTCATATTAAACAATTAATATATATATAATAATAAATATATATTTGTATGTAATTATATTGTATTATTGCCATGGGTAGGTATACGAGTTAACGCTTCGCCGCGTTTTAGTTTGAATTAATATGTGTATTAAATACACATACATATATAAAATATGTATTAGAATAAAATTTTATAGATAAATTAGTTATAATTTCATTTTAATAAAATAATAATAAATAAGACCCTCAGACAACTTAAAAAGATATTTATAATCAAATAAATAAAAAATACTTCAAATATAAATAATACCGTGCATGGAATTTCTCTGCTTTCACATTCACCTAAAATCCTATGTGGTTTTAAGACATCTGCCCAGCATTGTGGATCCGACCAGACAGTAAATGCTCCTCCAGAACAAATACTGCATCTCACTCTTAGCTTTCCGGCACGCAAACCACCACAGGTACCACAATGAACATAAAAGTGGGCTCTACTTCTTTCCCTATCTTTAATAAAAAAAAACTATAAGAATATATATTGATTAAAAAATGATAAATTATGACAACATCGACGAAGCAATATGTAATTATTTAAAACATTTTTAGAACAACCATAATTTTTATTAAATAATGGCGCATCAAATATGCAATAAATATAAAATTATAAAAAAAAATTCTTGCCTTCTTCGGATATGTTACTTCGTTCAAGTGACGTTAACTGCAAATCTACAAGTGTTTCGCATAATGGTTTGCTGCCTTCCTCAACAACTTCTTCTAACAAAGTACTGTGAGGCGAAGAAACAAATGCACGTTTCCTACATTTTACAGCATGAAGTATACTTTTGTTCCCCAAATCACATTCCTAGAATTATTGACATCCAATTACAAATAACTTATAAATATGCATATATATATATATATATATATATATATATATAATAAAATTGTTTCTTGGGCATCCATCCAGTAATTAAAAAACAGTTTTAATGAAAAATGTTTTTATTTATAGAGAACATACGTTTCGGGTCTGGATTTGACCCATCTTCAGTGCTACAATTAAATAATTCAGGGTTACAAATTAAAAACAATATAAAAAAATACATAATTAACAGACAAAAATAAGTAAAACAGTGTATATGAAAAGTATATATGAAAAACAACCATAAAATAAACAATGTAAAGAAACTCACCATACAAATAAACTTTGAAAAACAACACAAAAACATAAAATTGCACGAAAAATAAATAAAAGTGAAATAAAAAATTGATGAAACGTCGAGTTATGAAAATTTTTAAAAAAATTGTAAAATTAAAATGAATGATATATTTTATTATAAAAAAGCTTATTCCAAACGAACATGTTGTTAGTTTGGAAGTTGTATTACGAGTGTGTACGAGAGTAAAATGTGTGCGAACGTGTTTGCGGAAAATACTGGAAACTGTATCGTCATTGGTGAGAGAACGGGATAGAGAGAATTTTGGTGGTTCCATATTACGAAGATTTTCTCAACGATCATGCGCAGTAGGAACATAGTAAAAAATTTATACATGTGCAAGACATCCATAATCAAATCCCAAAAATATGTGAATGAAGAGAAAATTATTAGGAAAAAGTATAGATATTAACAGAAAAACGATAATAGTTATGGAACGATAAAAGTTACATAAAAAATTATAACATAACATATATATGTATATATAAACGCAAAACAATAAATGTAATATATGTATACACATACACATACACATATATGCATACACAAAAGAATATGTAGAATACATAAAAGAAATGTTAGGATGTATTGCGCATATTGAAAAAATTATTTGAAGCATCGCGGTAAATATTGCAAAGAGAAGCCGAATCAAATCGTTTGTTAATAGAAGGTAATATTTGTATGAAAATACTCTCAGCGAACTTCCTGCGTAAAATGTTAGATTCACGATGAATAACTCTTGGATTGGTGAAATTAAAAGAATGTTTAAATTTGGAGACATGCTCGGTGATCATGGTTTTATTTTGTTTTCTGTTCAAACTATTAAGTTCGTGTTGGCGCATTCTTTTTGAGAGAAATTGTGAAGTTTCTCCAACATAACAGCTTGAACAATCATTACAATCAATGACATATACGATGTTTGAAGTGCGGGAAATAGGGATAGGAGTTTTTAAATTAGTGTATAAGTCTGAGAGAGTGTGTCCAGTCGAACACACTAGCTTCAGACCAACGGATGAAAAAAGTTTTTTCCATGAGTGGAAAAGGCAGTCAATGTACGGTAATGAGATGAAGGAATTGAGAGATAGTGAATTTTCAGGAGGCTTCACAAGGTTTTGTGAAATGATACTATTTTGTTGTGATTGGGAGGTAAATGAGGAAGCTGTACGGAATTTATTACGAAGAAAGGGTAATCTATTATTTATTACTGAGCGTAAAAGTTGTAGTGGATAGGAATTATTTTGAAGGGTAGAATATATCAAATTAATATTTTTTTCCCAATGTGATGGATGAGAAAGAAGGATGGCATGATCTAGTAAGTTGATGATGGATGCAATCTTGGTAGATTTGGGGTGATAGGAATGGTAGTTTAAATAGCGTCCAGACCAAGTGGATTTTTGATACCAACATGTAGTGATAGAGTTGTTATTTATGAAAAGAGTAATATCTAAAAAATTAATGGAGTTGTTAATTGAGTCTCTAAGGTAAAACTAAGGTGTGAGTCAAAATTATTAAAAGAATTTAGGAAATTGGTTATGTTATAAGTAGGAATGCAAGTTAAAATGTCGTCAACGTAACGTTTGTAAAAAAGAGGTACATATGACAAGGTATTAAGAGTAGAGTTCTCTAGGAACTGCATACAAAGTTCAGCAAGAGGGGCACTCAAACTGGAACCCATTGGGGTGCCAAATTTTTGTTTAAAAAAGGAGTCGTTGAACGAAAAATAAGTATTGGAAATAATGAATTTAATACATTTCAGGAACCAAGAAAAATTGAAATCTGTGTGTTTGCTGATATCAGCCCATTTATGGTCTATGGCAGAGAGGATAAGGTCAGGTGAAATGTTAGTAAAGAGGGAAACAACATCTAAACTTATAAAGGAAAAATCAGATGGTACATTGAGGGAGTTAAGTTCGGGAATGAGTTCAAAAGAATTTTTGACAAAATGGGGAGAATTATGAGTGATATTGGACAAAATTGAACTAATAAATTTGGATAATTTGCAAAGAGGGGAATTTAAGTCAGCAACTATTGGTCGAAGGGGAAAGCCATCTTTGTGGATTTTGGGAAGACAATAAAGTTTTGGGGAAATGGGATTGTAAGTTTTTAATTGTAGAGAGAGAGGTTTGGGAATTTGTTGGTTTTCTATGAGTGAATCAATGAATTTCAAAGTATTCCGATTTATAAGGTCGGTGGGATCTGAATTTATAGGCTCGTAAGTGTTTATATCAGCTAGGAGGGACATGGATTTGGAAATATAGTCATCTTTGTTCATGATAACCGTCATGTTACCCTTATCTGCCCTGGTAACAACAATTTCTGGGTGTTGTTTGATAAAGGATTTGCAAAGGTGGATATCTTTGAGTAATTCTTTATGTTGATGAAAGTTAAAAATGTCAAATTTGAAAAATGAATTAAGTTGGTTGCAAAAAATAGATTTAATGCGGTTTTTTTCATTGATATCTTTTAAATTACGTAAACTATATTCTAAAGAGCTAAGTGTTTTGACAAAATTAAACGATTTTTTCTGTTGTGGAATGGAAAATTTGGGACCTAATGCTAAAATATTCAAAACATTGGATGGGATGTCTAAATCTGAAATGAAATGTTTTTAACCCATTTATTGATGATATCAGGGTTTATATTTAATTTGGATTCGTTAGACTTTTTCGAATAAAGGGTATTGAATTTTTTAATGAAGGATTTTTTTGACATATTAAAAGAATTATTGAATCTAGAGTTTTCGAAATCTAAAAAATTGTTAATGTCAATGTGATTATTAATAGTGGAAAATAAGGATTGGATGTTGTAATTTAGAGATTTATTTATGTTATCAATAGAGGTAATGCAATGTTTGATTTCTAGATTCAGCAACATAAAGGAGAAAGAAAGCTTTTTATTTTTAAAATAATTGGAATTTAGATGATCAAAGTTTGTTAATTTGAAATCAAAGGATTTTGGTAGGAGTTTTTCTTTACGACAACGAAGTAAAAAAGTTCTTTTGTTGGTGACGATAGCCAGTTTTGAGAAAAGGTTTGAAATAGTTTTAAATAAAATGAGTTTGGTAGGTCCATAGCAATGGAAAATGTTTTTTATTTCACTTTTATTTATTTTTCGTGCAATTTTATGTTTTTGTGTTGTTTTTCAAAGTTTATTTGTATGGTGAGTTTCTTTACATTGTTTATTTTATGGTTGTTTTTCATATATACTTTTCATATACACTGTTTTACTTATTTTTGTCTGTTAATTATGTATTTTTTTATATTGTTTTTAATTTGTAACCCTGAATTATTTAATTGTAGCACTGAAGATGGGTCAAATCCAGACCCGAAACGTATGTTCTCTATAAATAAAAACATTTTTCATTAAAACTGTTTTTTAATTACTGGATGGATGCCCAAGAAACAATTTTATTATATTATTTCACCATCTGAAGAAAAACCTCTCGCTTATATATATATATATATATATATATATTGTATGATTCTGAATTTGATGTTGACATATATATTAACAAAGTCTAATAATCGGGCATAACATCAATAAAAAACATAAATTTCTTTCAAAAATTTATTTTAAATCCATACGTTTCGGCTATAATCCTAGCCTTCATTCAGTGGAAACTAAAAATAAAATTAAAAACTAAAACAATTGAATTGGAGTGAAAATAAAAAATAAAATAGTAATTAGTACTTACAATTAGTAGATCTTAGTGTTAAATTGGAAAATTTTAATAATCCATGGTATTAGGATATGGTAATGCACTACACTATGTATTATAAACATTAACTTGAAATTACACAATATTTTCACAAAATACTGATTTGAAAAAATCACAAATAGATAGTGTGTTATTCGTAGACTGGTTGAAGATGTAATGGAGAAAGACATTTTTTAAAAAATATTTTTACCAAGATTCTAACATGTGTGGAACGAATTGCGAATCCTTTGCACGAACGCTTTTATTGTTTTGTAAGAAATATGGAAATGTTATCTAAATAGAAGAGATTTGTGTCGCACAGCGTGTTGAGTTCATTCCGTTTATTTATTGTCTTATTGTTATAAATAGTTAAAAAAGATCCCTCTTCTTGTTTTTGTTCGAATTTGTTCGAATTGTAGTATAGTCGGATTAGAAAAGTCCATATTGTGTTTTAAAGTGTATATATGGTCTGCAAGTACAGTTTTGAATTGTTTGGGGTTTTTTGAATTGTTTTTATGTTGTAACCGTTTATTGAGGTTCTCGCTAGTTTCTCCTATGTAAATTAAATTACAGTCTAAACAATTTATTTGATAGACGAGATTTCTGAGTCGTTCAATATTAAATGGGGTTTTTGTCTTGGTAAAAATAGTGCTAGTAGTTGTACTAAAATTGGTTACAAGTCGGAGTCCAGATTTATAAAAAAGTTTTTTCCAAGGAACATACAATTCTTTAATGTATGGCAAACATATTACACCAGAATGAGTTTCTGAGTCAGGTAAATCGTTGTGTACTGTGCAATTGTCCATTTTATTCAAAAGGTACGTTCGTCTGTTACTAGTTACGGAATTTATAAGTTTTAGGGGATAAGAGTTATCTGTTAGAATTTTTGTAATTAATTTGATGTTGTTGTCCCAAAATGTTTTGTCCGATAGAAGTATTGCGTGGTCAGTT